GTGCGGTGCGGTGCGGTGTGGTGTGTGGCGGTGCGGTGTGGTGCGTGGTGTGGTGCGTGGTGTGTTTTGGTGGTGTTGGTGTGGTGTGGTTCAGTGTGTGGTGTGGTGCGGTGCGGTGCGGTGTGGTGAGGTGTGGTGCGTGGTGCGTGGGGCGTGAGGCGTGGGGCGTGGTGTGTGGCGTGGCGTGGCGTGGGGTGGGGTGGCGTGGCGTGGCGTGGGGTGTGGTGTGGTGTGGCGTGGCGTGGCGTGGCGTGGCGCGGGGCGGGGCGGGGCGTGGCGTGGTGTGGTGTGGTTCAAGACGTGGCCGCCTCCTTGAAGCTCAAGCGGTCGCCCGCACGCAGCACCAGCATACTTTTCATGTTCACGCTCACACTCTGCATGGAATGCATGGAATGGTATGGTGTGGTGGTGTGGTGGTGCGATGGTGTGGTGGCGTGGTGGTGTTGTCTGAAGTGGTATGGCGTGGCATGGTTGGGTACGGTGTGCTACCGTTTGAGGCTTCGATTTAAGGTATGTGTCGTCAGAATGTAACCGTAGTTCCGAACAAACACTCCAAGCATAAAGAAAAACAGCCTCAACATCTAGAAAAACACTCTCAGCACAAGGAGAAGCCATGGCGGACTGGATTCAACAACACAGCAGCATAAGAATACACACACACACACACACCCAGCATAAATACAGAAGCCGCAGCATAAACTCAAGAACCATGCCAGCCCTGGAAGCATAAAATGAAAGAACTACCTAAAAACAAGTTGCCCAGCATAAGGGAAAAAAACCTCCAGCATAAAAATAAATACGCAGCCCAATCTGAAATATACGCTCTATGGTGCTTCTAGGAGGCCTGGCCACCTGCACCCGTAAAGTCTGGACTGAAATAGTTCCGGGGGTCAGGCCGCTCCCCTTCCCACTCCGAAAAGGCGGGCAGCACGGCGGAGGCATGGGCGGATGCAGGGGGGAAAGCAGGAAAAACTTTCTCTTTGCAAAGATTACGATGACAAGGCCCAAATGACTTAAGGCAGAGAGAACCAACATCTGCTTACGAACGGCTCATGGTTTTACAGCCGAATCCGAAAACTGGAATTGCACACTGAATTGATTCTGCCAAGTCTCTTCTCTGCGCATCAAAGTGCCTCTGTGGGGGCCATCAGATGCATGCTCAAACAAGTATCTTTCGGCACGTGTCTAAGCGACGCAGCCCAACTTCAGTCTCCAAGCCTGGATGACGCCTGGATGATACCTGCCTCTGTCAAGACCTTTGCTCACCTTCACTTCTTTAAGAATCAGCAAGGCCAGGTCCACCTGGAATAATTCTCATTCTACTTCCAAGGCGATGACAAGACGTCAAGTGAAGTGAACATAGAGCAAGGTCTATTGCTGCTTGAAGCATGTCTCAGTACTTACAGTACTCGGCTTCCTATCCTGACCAAACCATGTCGAAGCGTTACAGTAGGTACCCAATCCGGATTCTGCTGGATTGTCTTCAGCCAATTTGAAACGAATCCAGCTTGGACAGCCCTGAAAGAACCACATGAAGTTGCCAGGGAAAGTCCAAGTGTTTATGCATGTACAGTATCCGCAGCACAGAGCATGCTAGCACAACTGCACGGTTTGGCACATGGCTGGAATCTCTTCAGCTGAATCTCATTCACACCGGCCAAGTTTTATTTCTGATTCCGAAATCTGGAGTGGCGCGGGTCCACATGCTGCGGCCAGGCGGGGAGCGAGTGCTGAGCTATTTGGTCGTCTTCCCGACCCAAGACCGAGAAAAGCAGGGACGGCAAAAGGCATCCGATCTTGCGGAAGGCATGGGTCCGATGCTTTTTCAATGCCACAAGACAACATGCGCGGCCCGTGCACGCTGCACACCCTCAGTACGCCAAGTTGTGCTTTTACACGGTGTGGTGTGGGTGCTGCCAACCCCCTACCATAGAGCTTGGGCTTCTTGCTTTGGGCGCTTGAATTCTGGACATGTGTTTTGAAAGCCTCCAACCATGCTTGCGATGCATGGCGGCTCCCCGACGTGGAATGCGGCATCAACACAAATCCGCATGTTGAAAGGCACGAGAAGGCCACCATGCAATACTCGCGTGAAACCGAAGACCCAACTATGCGGGTGATGCGGGAGTGGAGGTACAGGGCGCTGTTAAATGCAATTAAAGCTCGTTTAAGTGGACGTCCACAGTGCTGCAGTAGGCGTATTTAGGATCCACCTGGCTAAGGTTGGCTGAAATCGCAATTCAACAAAAGGAGATTAAGCGTGCCAGCTAGCATATCGAAATACACCAAAACATGATTCCATTGGATGCCCTTGTGATCAGGAAGCCTTTGATTCAGAATGACCAACAAAAGCCTGAATCAAAAGCTTCATTGGCTTCTTCACCAGGCCACCATAGGGGAGCTTCAGCATGATCCACTGCTTTTTGCAAACAAGCTGCCACTGCAGCAGCAGGAGCGACAGGGCAGCTAGTCCCTCCAAGGGCAGCCCAAAGTACAAGTGCAAGCACCTCGTGTCTTGATGATTTGCCAAGACGCAACTATCCAAACGCTCATCTGCCAACTTTTGGAGAAGGTCTCCATCTGCTGAAGGGTGCCGAACCTCGCATAGCCCGGAAGACTGCAGGGCATCGCTAAGAGGGCTCATCACTGCAGTCCAACTGCAAGCCAGCCACGCGTTGATGGAGGCAAAGCCCGCCACGTGCGACAGAAGTACTTTCCAGCAAGTCATCTGAGACTGCAAATCCTGACGTTCATTGCACATCCACATCCGTATAGAGCCGCCTTGCTGGCAAGCACTCTCACATTGTCCAGGGACAGCTCCGGTGATCAAGCTCGTTAGCGTGCACCCAAAAGACTTGGATTGTGAGATCTCTATTCAGCTTTAACCTGCAAATGCGATCAATATGAGGTTTAGCTGTTGCAGAATGCCATCTCAATGCGTTATGCCTTTGCTTCAAATCATGTGCCACTGGTCTCTCCCTCGGCGCATCCTCAATATGGTCGAGCGGATGTAGCTGTTGCAACATGACCTGTGTTGCGCATATACTTGCAAGCACATACAATGTGATACGGTCTGCGCAGACACGCAACGCAGGCATCAATATCATCAACATCTACTTAGCTTCGCTGGCTTCGCTGTGGCAAGCGGCGTGCTCGGGATTGACAAGCGATGAAAGTGCTGTCCAAACCTCGCACTCTTTGCCATGCAACGCAGAAGGCAAACAGGATGTCATGCCCAGACGCCGAAACCCTCTCCGAGGAAGGCTTCATGCCTGGAACCTCTCCGCGACTCACTTGAGACTCGCGTGCTGACTTGCGCATCTGAGCAGCAAATGGCATGCCTCTTTGAGCTTATGCTTCGCCAGCACAATTGCGCCCTGGAAGGACATGTAATACCTGCAGCTCAAGAATCTCGACAGTAGCATGGTTCTGCACTGGCGTGAGCAGGCTACAGACGAATCAGGTTTCTTCACTCGCTGCGAACGGGTGACAAATGGAATTCAAGCGCAGCGTACCAGACCTCCAAAATCTGAAACGCTGAAGCATATAGCCAAGTCCAGATTTTCGGAGATTTCCGTCTGCCACTCTGGTGCTGCTCATTACTACATGCAGGCAAGCCACAAGCATCTGACACATCTGAACCTTGAGTTGCGGACTTGACCACACCGGCAAGGTCTTGCAAGTTGAGATTGAAATGACAGGTCTGAGATGCTTTTTTGAACTGAATTCGAGGCGCAAGAAAATGAAAACGTTGAAGTCCAAACATCTGCACGACCTCTCGAAGCCAACTTGTCCAGAGCAGATGCCAAGTTTGGACCAGCGCGGGCCTTCACAGTCACGTCATTCATGTACTGGAAAATCATCACCTGGTGGGGCTGCACTGGGGCTGCACGCTGCTCCGCCTAGCTAGCCTAGCTGAGCATGCAATGGCAGCAAATGCTTTCCGATGGCTGCACAGAAGATCGCGATGGTCTGGCTAATCACTTCGTAGCTATATCTTCTGATGTCCTGAGTTGCCAGATGTTGCCAGGTGCATGGCCCGGCCAGACAGCGGTCGGATACGGTCGGGATCTTGTGTCCTTGTCTGAGTGGTTCGTCAAGTACGTCAAGCACATGAGGAAGACCATGGCACCAACCAATGTGCTGGCCACACCAACCTGGCAAGATTCATATCAGGGAACTTGGACCTTTGGGCCCTGATCGAACTTAAGCCAAAGCTGAGCCACATTATCCATCGCATCGCTTTCCATCTTCCAAGTTGTGAAAGCTTCAGAACCCCCTTGGAGCTCCTAGTTGACTGTGGGGCCGGCTGCGAGCTATCACATCTGTCTGCTTTGTCATGTCTGATTTCTCTTGACCTCGGTCACCTTCTTGCTCTTCAGCTGCGGGTGCTGTTTGCTTGAAGTCTTAAGTTTCATGACCTATCTGTAATGCAATTTGAGCAAAGTGGCCACATGTACAGCACTGAGCCAAATGCACCGGTGCCGGATTACGGCCCTAGCAGAATTATGAATTATGACAGGCTGACGGGGCCTGTCCTCAAGGATTTCGGAGAGCACGAAGAGGAGCAGCAGCAGCGCACCCTCATTGCTGTCCCATTGCAGCGCTGCCGCAAGTTGAGTTCGGCACCTCTTGCGTGTGCCCGAGGACGGCCGACCTTAAGAGGAGCCAGGACAGATTCAGGGTAGCGGGCAGACCGCATCCATTCAAAGCTGCGGAAATCTAAGGCCCACGCGCAAACGCACCCAATGTCATCAAGAAGTGGATATCGAGCTGCGCCTTCAACTTTAAGGCTGGTTCGCACTCTTCTGGCTTGTCGCTCAAAGGGTTGCATGAAGCCGCTGCACTGAGCACTCCACAGCGTGCTGCATGGCTCCAGACAGTGCTGGCAGGCCATAAACCTTGGCACAGTTGAAATAATAGGGATTTGACAGGCACTCTAGCAGTGCAGCCGCAGAACTACGTAGACCAACAGTGGCCCAACGAGTCCTCAGACATGCATCTGGCTGTAATAGCACGAGAAATCACAAGCTTTTGATTGCTGAGCAGATTTGAGCTTCTCAGCTCGAGGCTTAGGCTTCGAGAAACGCTACCTGGATCTCGCTGTGCAGTAGCTGAGTTGGAGGTGCTGACGGATCAAATGGGCTCAATTGTTTGTCTTGGAAGTAAGTCTTGCCAACAAGAATGAAACATGGTGCTGCCAGTTTATCGAGATATGTCTAGCCGAGGGAGGCTTTCTGCATAGCATAGGATTGGTGAACAAAAGCATGCACCCACCTGGCAGGCCACGACAAATGCCCCAAGGCAGCAGCGAAACGAGAAAGGCAGCTGTCACCAAGATCATGGATGTTTTCTTTCTGGACAGATCTGACAATCGGCGAATTGCAGGGGCCCCTGGCAGCCAATCTGGGACTTCGCCATGGGAGTGTCCATGACCACAGCACGAGTCGTGCCCGTGCTCGTGATGATCTGCGGCTGGGCTGTGGCTGTGAGTTTGATCATGGGTGTGGCTGTGGCTGTGGGAATGACTGTGAGAGTGGGCACTGTGTGATGCGCAGTCTGAACTTTCCGCAACCTCCAGCCGTTCATGAGAATGCGCATGGCCGTGTTCTTCGTCATCATGCTCATGGTCATGCTTGTGGCCGTGTTCCACGTCATCATGCTCATGGTCGTGCTTATGGCTTCTCCTGATGAGGGAGACTTGCCGAACGCCCTGCCACCGCATTCTGTGCATTCGTGTGCGCCGTACACGCCGGAACATCGTACCGATGACAGCTGCCATGCACAGCCCGGCTGTCGACAACAAGGCGCAGTGCACTGCGTCCCGGCCATAACCTCCTTCTGGCAGTTGAGGATTAGCAGGGGAGCTGGGGAACATCGCCTCCCCAGGGGGCAGGACAGCAGAAACAGGTCCACGTCTTGCCGGGTGCAGCGGAACCCATGGCTCGTTCATTCTGCGGGCCCTGGCTCCACAAATGTGCAATGGCCAAACATCTTCAAGTATCAGATTGTCTCCATGCAGCAGCAAAACTGTTAGTTAGTTGTGAATTGCGCCAGAAGATGATCTAAGTCTGCAAGGGTCCCTGCAAGGCTGTTTGTAGAAGCTGTGGCATGCATACGGCTTGCAAATGGCCAACTTCTAAGATCTCGAGATGCAGATTCAACAAATAGATGATGATCAAAATCATCAGGCTAAATCTGCTTAGCAGGTCAGAAGCCGCTGGCACCTTTTGGAAATGGTTGGCGAGGCCTGCCATGGTGTATGTGCACACGCTTACCGACATCAAACAAAGGTTGCGCAACTCCTGCCTTGACTGAGCTACGGGGCCCGGAGGTGGTGTGCGACACCAGCTCTTGCTGGGGGGCTCTGCCCTGAGATTAGAGAACCAAGTCAGGTGAAGTCTAGCAGTTCACAGCACACGAATGCATTGAGGAATGTGCCACACCGCTGCTGCTGGAAAGCGGTGGGCCACAGCCTCATTTCAAATGACCAATTGGGATTGACCTGTTATGTTCGATTCGGCTCCTATCTCTTCAGCCTCCTCATTGCAAAACGACTTTCTTTGCCTAATCACAAACTGATTTTGCGAACACCATCGCGCATGTTTCAACAATAAGTTTCACCAAGACTCCGAACCCCGAACTTCATGGCCATGGTATCAAAGTGGAAGCCTGCATACTGATCTTTCATCAGCATACGCCCTGAGCACAAACTATAGTGCCCAGGCTGAAGTGTTGATTTAGTACGGCCGCCACTTTAAAACTTAGCTGCAGGAACTCTGCCCTACGGAAATCATCCACCACTGCAACCATGTCGGAGACGCGAACATTAACTATTGATAACTGATCCCGCGAAATCCTAAATTCCTTATGCAAACACTGGAGCGCTTCCGCGCATTTAATTTGAGGCTGCTGACTGCTAATATCATAAAGTATTCGTACAGTATATAGATATAGCAGGATATAATACAATTCAATATGATGAAGTGTGACATTCTGTTGTATTGTATTGCTTTGTTGTGATGCATACTAAGGTGCCACTCGCATAATGGGCTGCAGACAGCTCCAGACGTGCCAGGACTTGAGCTCCGGTGGATCCTTGCAGCTCAGCAGCAGCAGCACTACCACCACCACCACCACCACCACCACCACCACCACCACCACCACCACCACTTCTCATCGCTTGGCGCCCCCGCACACGTACACTTGGACTCCGCCGGGGTGTTATAGCCCGTGCGTCGGGAAACTGCAGAGCACCTTGGACAGCACAAAAGCTACCACCAAATTGCGTCAAGGCTGTGGCCGGAGGGCAGGTGCTCCCACCGAGATACAACAGCACTCAAAACTCAGAACCCTTTGCCAAAAAGTTTGGGCTTCGCACTGCAGCCAGCATCGCGGTGCAAAGCCTTAGAACAGCAAAGTTTGAGCTTCAGGTTGTTCCAAGCTTAGGGCTTCAGTGTGCCAATCTCGCTCCCTACTCTGCTTTGGACTTGCATTCTGGCTCTAGTTTACTGTTTTTCTGAACTTGAAAACTCTTCCGAACGATGTGCGCGAGGTCGGGGTCCACTTACAAAAGCACAAAAACACGGTGGGCTTTTTCAAGGGCAGGGCTCGGACATGAGGCCGGGGGCACCGGCAAAAGCCGCTGATTCTCCCATTCTGCGTTTTTCGGCTTCACTGAGACTTGGTAGGCTAGGTCCTGCACGCATCACGCATCACCGCTGCGCTTAACGTTAGATCCTCTTTAGCGGAGGTTCCCCCATAATGTGTTTTGGGGCCTGTTTATTCAGGATCAGAGGTAATGCTTGTGAGGTGCCCTATATAACGTGTGTTGATTTTAGGGCATTTTGGGGCCCTAAGACTATAGGAAAGGGGTCACACCTCTCCTCTTTTAAATCAATCCACAGGGACCTCAGAACCTGGGAGGCTGAGGGCCCTTATTGAGGGACTTTAATTGCCATATACTTCCATTTTTGGGGGGCCCTATTGTTACGGCCAAAAAAGTTTTGGTTTGCCCGCGCCTGAGGGCACAGACTATGTCATGAAGCTCAAATCCCTGTGCCCTGCCGATGTTTTCAACGTCCACATAAATGGTCAACCCTCTCGTACCTTTTGGGGGGCGCTCGAAACCCCTAGGCCCTAAACCCTCGAAAGCCACCTTAACCCGAAAAGGCCCTAAACCCTAACAAGCCCTGAGCCCGGATAAGCCTTGAACCCAACCTTAAAAAGCCCTAAGCACAAACAAACTTAAGCCCTAAAGCTGAAACATCCTCAAGATCGAAAAAGCACTAAACCCTAAAAAGCCCTAAGCCCTACAAACAACCTAAAACCATCTAAAGCGTAAACATCCCACTACAGCCCCTAAACCCTAGGCCCTAACAACCCCGAAAACCCTAACATGAACCCTAAACCAGAATAAACCCCTATACCCTTAAAAGCCCTACACCCTCAAAACCATCAAAAAACACCAAACAACCAAGGCCCTAAAACACTCCTAAACCGTAAAAAAACCTTAAACCCTAACAAGCCCTAGACCCTACTAATACACCCTGAATCCTAAACCCTTAAAAACCTACGCCCTAAACCCTAACAACAAACCTAAACCCTAGACCCCCTGAAGCCGAAGAAACACTAAACCCCAAAAAATCCTTAAACCCTCACTCCCCCGTAAACACCAACATAAACCCTAAATCCGAATAAAGTCTAAGCCCTCAAAATCCTCAAAACCCCTAAACCTAAAATCACTAAACCTTAAAACAACGCTATAGACCATAAAAAATACATAAACCCTACAAACCCGAAACCATGAAAAAGAAGAACCACAAACAAATGTGGCCCTAAACCTGGACAGCTAAACCCTAAACACCACGAAACACCCCTAACCCCTAAAACAACTCAACCACAAACTGCATGATGTGTGGCCGAACCAAGACATTTGGGTAGGTTGGGGGGGGTGCCTACATTGAAGAGGGCGCCACAATGCGCCACATCACTCTGCGAGTCGACCATCACGGAAGGAGACACACTATGATGCATGAGCTGCTCGGAGTTCAGCAACTAGATTCAGATGAACTTGCACACGGCAACAAAACCTTTCAAGGTTGGAAACGTCAACATTTTTTACAAGACTTTGCGCAAGGCGCGTCCAGAGCCCTTCCTGTTCGGATTTCACTAAAGTCACTATACACCCAGTCACGCCGAGGAGTACTTGCTGTGTTGAAGGGAAACTCAATGCAAGCAAGCGCAAGTC